GAGAGGAAGGGCACCCCTCCCCAGAATCCCACTCTGTACCTTCTCTAGAAACCGGGAGCTGCTGTTCTGCATTTTCAAGTGGGTCTAGCTCAGGACACCTGACTTCCAGGGGGAAGTCAGCTAGGAGTCATCTTGGGGTCATTCCAACTAAAGTTGAATCGTGTAAGAAAACATTGTGATTGTTCTCACCCCAAGCGACACTCCTCGCTGTCCCCGATTTGGGGGAAGCTGTAGAGGAAGGCAGTAAAGCCCCGCAGAACTTGTGTCATGAGACGCCGCCAGGGTCAGTCCCGACTCAGCTCCTAATTAGCTGCATGACCTTGGCCGAGTCCCTTCCGCGCCGGAAGCCTAAGTTTTCTCATTTGGAAAATGAAGGGTTTGGTTGCTCTGTCTTGGGGGTAACTTGTCTGTTCCCAGTTCTGTAATTGCTTGGTTCTAAAAATAACTCTGATGGTACAGTCCCACCCAGCGAACGCTAAGTGTGGGGTTTGTTGAGCATCCCCCCGAAAATATAAAATTACGTAGTCACCAGGTCGCATATCACTGACTCCCGGGAGAATGACTAAATGCCAGACACATATATGAATGAATATATTAAGATGTCCCTTCCCACACAAGAGAAGGAGCACACGGGCCCCCCTTCACCTGGCCCGCAGACAGCAGCTCCAGCTGGAGAGAGCCTCCCCGCCACGCGCAGGGGAAGGTGATTCCGAGCGGAATCACGGGAGGTGACGGGGGTGCTGATGCTGCAGCTGCTGGAAATCTGATGAAAGCTGAGCATCCCCAGGACAGAGGAGACAGGACCACAGCCGGGGAGGGCAGGCCGTCGCTCCTGAGGTGGACGGTCCCTGCTCACCCAAACCCTGACCCCGGAACCGGCAGCACAGGCCTGCTCGGGGGAGGGCGCCAACCCCAGTGTGGTCACCCAGGACCCCTCTTACCACGGGGCCGGGGCCGAGAAGGGGAGGCACAGTTTCCCTGCCTACAGAAAAGCCTCTGTAGAAAGGGCTGCTAGGAAACTATCACATCGCCCCCTTCTTGGGAAGGATGAGACGATTCCTTAGGAAGAGACGAGGAAATGGAAGCCACCAGCTGCCGCGACACAGCTGGGAGGACCCGACAGCCCCCACGTTGGTGCGCTGCTCGGCGTGGCGGGGTCTCGCCTCGCCGGGAAGGCTGCCTGGGGAGAGGGAAGGGGCGCACACGCCTGGGTGCGGGATCCTGGATGCGGCGGGACTTGCCCAGCTACTCAGCCTCCCTGAGTCTGTTTCCTTGTCGTTAGGAGGCGCCTCACAGGCTTCCTAGGGAGGGCCTCCAGATGGTGTTTCTTCCACTTCCCTCAGTTTCTCCCAACCACGCCCCCATCCAGGACGGAACTGAGCTTCTCGGAAAGGTTGGCCTCCAGGTACACCAGGCCTCTCAAACTCGAAGCTTCCAAATCTATGATGAAAAAAGGAAAGTTCTCCTTCCCCACCATCGCAAAGAGCCCACAGGATCTGATTAGTTTTTCGTCTCAATTCCAAACAAAGCCAGATCAATAGCTTTGTTTTAAAGACAAGCTCGTTTGGCTTCACATGGCTAAGTACTTAAAATTAACAGTCATCAGTTATTCCGTGGGTTTCTAATTTCCAGCAGTGGCACATGGGTCTGGAACCATCCATCTTAACGGGAGCCGTTGGGAAGTCGGCCGGAGCTGACGTCTCCGTTTAAGGGCCCTCCCGTCCCCACCCCCAGACCTTCCAAATCTTATCTACACATCGACATTTTGTAATACTTCTCTGTAATCGCAACTTAGGCACCACAAAGAACCGTGACAATGAAATAAATAGGAGCTAAGTGAGGGCATTGTACGCTCACTTAATAAATTCTTCAGGGAGGTTCCGAGAAGAGAGAGAGGAAGGGGTTCAAAGCACCCTCTCCCTCGAAGGTCGTCCTCAGTGCCTGAAGCTTTAACAGTCTGCGAATTAAGACAAAATGTAGTATCCCAAGTGTGTTTTCTCTCTGACGTTACGCGGCGTGAAGTACAAAACTAGAAAAGACTCGCGATGACCTCATGGAAAGCTCTCTCAGAATTAACTGAAGAGAAGTCTGTGGGCATCACCTACAGTTGGCCCTCGAACAACATGGGTGTTAGGGGTGCTGACCATCCCCTCCCCCATCAAAAATCTGCATATAACTTTGGACTCCCACAAAACTTAGATTGTCCCTCAGTACTGCAGGGGATCGATCCCAGGACCCCCCACAGATACCCAAATCCACGGATGCTCAAGTCCCCCGTATAAAATGGCGTAGATCAAGTGCCTACAGTCGGCCCTTCGCATCCGCAGACTCCCAACCTCGGATCGAAAACAGTAATTTAGTGAAAAAAAACCCCGTGTAAGTGGACCTACGCAGTTGCAACCCACGTTGTCCAAGGGCCAGCTGTACTGGTGGAAATATTTCCCGTGGGATCGCCTGTGAGATGGGCCTTTCTGTGGTGGAAATGCCGTAACACTCTTTCCGCCAGGACTCAGGCTGGTTTCACCGGCTGCACTGAGTGAGAACTTAGGGGGTGAGCTGATGGGAGCCAGCCCCTGGCAGTGAGGGGAGAGGAAGCGGTTCAAGGTTGGGAAAGACTAAAGTCTGCCCACCTTGACCTCATTTCTGGCTTATGCCCAGTTGGGGGATGTCCAGCACCGAGGATGGTGGAGAAAGGAAAGCAGCCAGAAAAGGGGTTCAGGAGACAAGCGTAGTGTAGGTGAATCTTCTCAAGGCCCCAAGCCGCCAGAGGGGAGGCCTCCCAGTGCCGGCGGCAGTGGCCAGCGTTTGGGCAGTGACCCGTCCCCGGCACCATAACCAGAGCTTTTACACCCGGGATCTCTTCGCGTGCTCACGACCCCGCCGCAAAGCTGCTGGCACCCCCGCCCTCCTCCCACAGAGGGACAGCCCCCGTCGGAGCAGCAGGGTCCTGCACACCCGGTGGCAGCCGAGCCCGCTGATCAGCCCTGCTCCCCGGCGGCCTCTCTGGGCTGAGCTGCCAGGGCTCGGCCACTGTGCGCCACGGCGTGTGAACTGGCCCCGGGAGCCGGGCCAGGCAAGCTACCGATGCCCCAAAATCCTGCCGCAGAGAACGCGGCGCCTCCCACAAGCCTGTGAAATTGTCATGCCCTTCACCCTGTTTAGGGGCCCCCCAAAAACTGAAAGCGATTCAGACTCACAAGGGAAGGAAAATAATCCTACTTTTTCACTGACTTACAGTCCAGTCCCGGAGACGATTTAGTCTCACTTCTGGATGTTGCCAATTGACTGATGCCCTACGGTTTGGGGGCTTCTTTTTCCAGACCTCCGCAAAATACAGCCCGGATTTTCTGTGTGCCACTTAAGGTTCTTAACTGAGGGACCCTGTTTTCTGTGGGTCAGACGCCCTTCTGTCACCCAGATAACTGCCTTTTCATTTCCACGTGCTCTCTCCATTCGGCGATTCACATACGCGGTTTTCTCTAAGCAAGGCGCTGCGTATCCTGCTGGCGAGGGAGCCCAGAGCGCACCCACAGCCCCGTCTGGGCGGGAGTCATTGCTGACGGTGCTGAGTTGTGGTTTCTAGTCCCCGCCGGCTAGATCGAGGATGGGCAGGCAGTGCACCAATTATACCAGGCTCCTCCCTGCCCAACGTGCCATCCCAGGTCAGCAAGATGGTTAATGAA